CCCCAGATTCATGGCTTTGACATCTGCGTCCTTCTCGACTCACTGCTCGCAGCCCATTTCTCATGCCCCCTCCATGCCTACCCCCCCACCTCTCTCTCCTTCTCTCACCATCTCCCCCATTGGTCGGCTGTGAATGAGGGAAAGACTGTGTGGGAGGGAGCATGGGACAAAACAGATCCCTTTTCCCTGGACGCTGTGCTGCGCCAGGCAAGCAGGGACACATTTAAGGATGAAGGGGAGGTTAATGTAGTGGGGAGAATGAGAGAGCTGCTGTAACTCTCTTCTAATGTAGCTTAAACACACATACAGCAGCAGTGCTGCAGGGCTGGACTAATAACTCAGCTAAGACGTGCACACACACTGAAAATCTTAAAACAAACTCGAGAACAGAAGTTGATCAATTTAAGGTGACACAACAACTTTACTATTGCCAAACACTGGTAAATTTGAACAACTTAAGGTGCTGTCTAGCTGTACTTATACAGAATATTTGCTGTGTTTATTTGCACAAATACTGCCTTGGGGATGTTTACCACAGAGGGAAGCCTCCACTCATATTACTGTCACAGGTAACTAACTTCTTTTTAGTGTCTGGCACCCTGCATACCAAATTAGCCATTTATTAGCAATCTTCTGCTGACTTCATTTACAGTGTTCGGGGAAAGAACTGTTAACCCGGCTTCATAAAGGCAGAAAGCCGAGTAAATCATTAGCTCACAATCTTGTCCAGGCTGATCAGACTGTAGTTTATCAAATCAAACATATCTGAGAGAGCCAAAAATGAAAAAGCATGAATTACTTTTATGACACAAAAATAATTACCATCATTTGTCCCTCCTAGCGTGTTTTATTATTCATTATTATTATATCTAAGCAATGAACTCCTAAAAACTCCTTTGGGAATAGTGAAGCCACAATGGGAGCAGGGAGGAACATGCTGCTGGAATTACTTTGTCAAAAGTAACATGCAATAACTTGATTGAGCTGTCTGTAGGTAAGTGTAGAAGATAATGAACTATGAGAAGTGCATTTATGGGAAAACAAAAGTCACTTAATCACGCTGCTGTTACATGCAAGTAATCTAAATGAGGGTACCTCAGGTTAACTTTGGATTTTATATCCTGTTGATGACATTACAGACAGACACTCAAATGCTCCACTGCTTTAAGTCCATGTTGCTGTCAGATGTTTTTCTTGTTTTTGAGTGTTTTCATTTGACATTCTGCAGTTCTGGTGGAGCGACGGTTCAGTAGAGGCAATGAGAGCAGCTTGTGCTATGACCATAAGGCTCATGATGAACCATACGTTATCTTGACCTTTAAGCTTTGCTTCACGTACTTCAAACGTTCACTTGTCTGATTTCTCTCACTAACAGATCTGTCTCTATACGCAATCTGGCTGTCCCTCTGTGTGTGTACATGTGTGTGCATGTGTGTGCATGTGAGACCTCGCTCTCATTTCCCCAAGAGCCACTAAAGGCACTGTGGTGGAACCGTTCTTTAGCTCCCTCACATTTCACACATGTCATTAAATTGGGACTTTGGCAGGGATGGGGTGACCTGAGAGAGAGGTCTTTCCATGTGTGTCAGGCTGTAGTTTCCATTATAAGGTCCAATCATTTTGACCCAAATATCCTAAAAACACCTAACCAAGTTGCTACTGAGGCAAAAATCGAAAGTTTGGAGGCCAAACTCTGCATCAATGTGTACCATCTGACATAAGTAAAAAATAGAAGGAAACCAATCCAAACAATCCCTGTTAATATAATAGCCACTGATGACTTCCATTAACTGGCTGACACTGATACGTCCACAGTAAAATTGAACTGGCCTGTGAATTCAATTGCATCCCTTTGGTCTCAGTCTGAAACAGGAATTACAAAGTTACACACACACACACACACACACACACACACTCAGTTTTGAGTGATTAACACATTCGCATGCACTCCCATTTCTCTGAAGAACATTTCTCAATGTAATCCTATCATTAGCCTAACAACTGGCTGTGATATAACCATCCTTTCTGCTGTCTTGATCTTGTAATGATGACTTAACGCAACAGAAGATGTGACGTACCCGAGCCCCCGTCAGCCAAGTAGAGGTCTCTGGCATACAGAACAGAGTCCAACATGGATTCAAACAGCAAGAAGTAACCCTAGGAGGAGAGGAAATACACATCACTATCCCAACATCTTAAAGTTAGAGTTAGGGGTTAATGAACAAAAAAAGAGGTTAGAACATGTTTCTCAAGGAGTTCATGGCAGGGTTATTTTTTTTAATCTGACATGGCCATGACTGTGAATCAAGGGATATCTGCAACCCAGCATCCATGGATTTGACCTCGGGTTGACCTTGTGTTCTGCTCCAGTAGGTGGCACATTAACCGTGGTATTATTCCATTAATGATGAAATAGATTTTTGTCCACATCTTGTTGGCTTCGACCTGAGTGGCAGATACTGCTGACAAATGGCCTTTTCCACCTACTGCCAGTCCAACCAAAGGATCAACCAATCAGAAAAGCCTGGCCACTTCGGTATGTTATTTTTCAGCATATGATTTGGGCGGGTTCAAACATATGGGGAGGTTACATCTCCATCTGGGATGTTGAGGCAGAGACAAATCAGTACATGCACATCCTGTAACTGATGATCCACGACAGTCTTTTCAAAGCTGTCAAAGCATTGACTGACTTTCTCAGGAATGAAGACGCCCATGACTGCTTTCAGATCTGTATTTTAAGCTCAACATTTTAAGGCTTACATGCCTGAGTTTGTCTTTTACCAAGTTCAATTGTGCTGTGATTTAACTGATGGGCAGTTTAATATTTCAGAAATGGCTTGCTAGCACTATAGTGAAGAGTCCTCTACAAGTGAGACAGCTGATTAAATCTGTAGTGTGAACTCAATATGATGGAAAAACTTCTGGAAAAAACAGACTGATTTATGTTTAAGAATCCAGTATCTCTATATTACCTTCAGTGGAGGGAAAGAGGGACAAGGAGAGGTGAGGTCCAGGACAGAAGATAAAAAGTGAATGAGCGGTGTGTGTGTGTGGGTTGGTAGGCATGTATGATTAAGGACAAAACAGAGGGGAAGAAGACAGAGTGATACTGAGGAAATGCAGTGGCCAGCACAATAGCAACTCACTGAGATAAGAGCCTTATTATTCAAATAAAGACAATCTCTCGCTGGAGGTAGAAGAGGGGGGGGGAGACAAACAGGGAAACAGCTCTGATTTATAACTGGAACTCCAAAATCGTCACCATCTCTGTCATGGGCCGACGCTGATAATGATGACAGCGATGAAACAGATATAACCATCACATCCTCCACAAGGAGATAAACAGAGAGATTGTTTCCCTTTATCAACACTACACCAGTCTCAAACCAAAGTCAGGCCTGCGGATCGCCTGTTTGCTGACTGTTGTGGTCCAGTCAATGTCGTTAGCTGCAGAGCGAGTCGTTTTTAAACCCCTTGCACAGAGCACACTAGTCTTGTAATTTAGAGCCCAATTTCACGGGACACTGGTTCACTTGAAGGAAGGAGGACATAAGAGAGAGATGCCTGAAAGCAGTCACACCTTGTTTTTATCATCAACAATGCTCCAAAATTACTGACCCCCACACCAACACCACTGCCACACCGCCGGCTGCTTTGCATGTCCTTCCAACATCAACTACCACACCTCCCTAACTTATACATCTGAAATGTTAATGACCGAATAATAAAAAATACATGGAGACACTGGTCTATTTCAGTGTCAGGGATTCACACAGGACAATAAGGCTTCAGTATTTAGGTTTGCCTAACAAGAAAACTTTAAGCAACAAGAAGCCATCGGTGAACATGTGTTAAAAGTTATCCCGGGCTATTAGTAAGACAATAAAATTGTATTATGCAGCATATGATGGGCCTATAACAAGTTAAAACCCAGTCAGTGAAGATTATTCACTGTAATCTGCACACTAACTTAGCGTTTACCTTCCCAGAGAAGTAACTACATGTCCCTGGTCCACTAAGTAAGGATAATGCCTCAGTTAAGTGACTTTTAATAGGCTGCAGCTTGCTCAAAAGGCTAATGCAATAGCTAGTAATCTTGCAGTAAATGCTGTTTCTCTTGTTTTCACAGCTCTAACAAACACTGTATAGAGTCAACCAACTCTGAAACATTCTCTTTTCTAGATTACAGTGGTAACAGTTGGTCAGGATTTAATAGCTCCAAGAGCAGAGCATGACAGAGCAGTGTATCCACACCAAGTACAAATGAAGGCATTTCACTTCTTTCTGGAAATGCTTCACTCTAGGTGTAGGTTATTGATATTTATATTTAAGTTATTGATATTTATATTTAAAAGTGCAATACTGTAATTTTCTGCTGCTCATTCCTGTGCAATATCCCATCTGCCCTCCCGTCATATTTCTTTTCAAGATTTTCTTATTTAATCACTAGTGTACATATATTTATATTTATAGATACATATATATTTAGTCATCTTTTCTCTTTTACCATGTCTCTCTAATATTTTGCTCCTTACTATTTTTTTATTATTTTTTATTATTTTATTTTATTATATTTTCTCCTACTGTATCATGCTGCTGAGTGACTGCTGCTCGTCAAACACATTTCATTGCAATGTTGACCCTGTGCTAACTTGCATATGATAAATAAAACTGAAAACTGTATAACTTGTAAGGACATGACTCCCCTCACCTTACCTCCAACTGGTTGCAGCAGGTGGCTGCTGCTCCCTGAGCCTGGTTCTGTTGGAGGTTTCTTCGTATTAAAAGGGAGTTCTTCCTTCCCACTGTCACCAAGTGCTTGCTCATAGGAGGCCGTCTAATTGTGTGTGTGTGTGTGTGGGGGGGGGGGGGGGGTTCTCTGTAATATTGTAGGGTCTTTGCCTTACAATATAAAGCGTCTTGAGGTGACCGATGACCAACACTTACAAAATAGACTTAATTTTTTATTCAATAACCAAAAGCGAGTGACTGAGACCATAAACGTAGCAGAAAAGTGTTTACAGTGGTAAAGTCAGAAAGCTGTTTTCTCGTAGACTTCTATAGTACCCAAATTCTTTTTGTAACCACAGCTAATGCCATCTGGTGGCCTTCAGATTGAATACAGGCTTTAGGCACTTCACATTTGGTTAGTTTTGGAGTTTTTCTTTGTACCTGGAAGCTACATCCATTATTTTACACACACAAACACACACAAATTAATGCTGCATTAAGTCTGCATTAGGTCTGTGTGACTATAGTTAAAAAATTTAGGCAACTGCATTTCATACTTTTATACTAAACACGCATGTTAATATGTATCACGACTGGAATCTATGCATGTTCTTTCCTATTCAGCTGCTTCTCATTTTCTTTCAGTTACCTCACGGTTTACAAACCAGGCTGGAGACCATCTCTGTACTAAAAACAGATGAAATTGACATGATCTCAAAACAAGTTTTCTTTTACAGCCAAAGTTCTATTATCTTTATTTACAGCACATAAAATGAATATTGAACACATCTCCAATTTTCTAAGTAAATATATTTTTTAAAGTGCTACAAAAGCCTTTGTTGCTAATGACAGCTTTAAAACACCTGGAGAAAGTAGTTACATGCATTGGTCAGATGTGATTTCTTCCAGTCTTCAAATCCTGAAGGTTCTGTTTTCTATTGCTGTTTTTTTTTTTTTTTTTTTTTTTTTTGCCGTTTATTGCTGTTTTCTATGTACCTGCTGCCTCTTGGTGTTCTTTTACGTTCTTTTAATGTAACCTTTCATTGTTACGCTGATGACCTGCAGCTTTATGTTCCTTTAACCATTGGAAATTGTGCTGAAGTCTCTAAACTAGAATTTGTTATCTGCAATTAAGGGCTGGTTATCGGATAATTTCTTGCTCCTAAATACTGATAAGACAGAGTTGATGGTCATTGGACACAAAAATTTCAGCACTTGTCCCAAAGTTTCATCTTGAAAATTGATGACAATGTCATAAATTGCAGGGACAAGGTAGAGCTGGGCGATATGAGATTTTTTCATATCACGATATGTTTTTTTCATTTCAGGCGATAACGATATCTATCACGATATAAGCCAAATAACTATATTTGTAAGATTTAAATGTGCCGTTGCTCACAAGTAAAATGTGAAATAATCAGCAGCTTGTTTTTATTTAAATATTTATTTCCCATAATAAGTTCAACAGGGTAGATGTACTTAAGGAACATGAGACTTTTTCAGATAAATAAAGGCAAATATTGCAAACTACACAAAAGGCAGCCGCTAAAGCGTTTAAGTTTCAAAATAGAACAAACGAAACAGACTAAATTGTCAATTCCACTTAGAAACAAAATATTAATTCTAAAAATAAATCTTAGTTTGTTTTACAGAAGAACAGACAAAACTGACTAACTTTTGTCAATATCAAATAAACTGAGAACTAAAAGGAAATTCTCAATCTCTCCTTGTTGTATAGCTTAGCTTTTCAAACAGTTTTAACAGTTACTTTAGTCTGACAAAAGCCGAATGACGAATTAGCGCTTCCAGTCACACGTACACGGGTATTTTTGAAAACGGAGATTTTCCGTTTTCGTTTTAAAAAATAATCCCGTCCACACATAAAGGCAGAAATGAAGGAAAACGCTGCTATGAACATGCCAAAGCAGCAGGTGGCGCTAGATTCCTAACCGTGCAGAAATGTTGGCCAATCAGAAGTCTAGAAGCCTCGGTGGGAAAAAGTAAACAAAGCTGGGGCATAGAAGCAGAACCGAGTCGTATGTGTGGAGGGACAGTAACTGTGTGTATATGTAAGCATTTAAACACTGCAGAGAGTAGAATTAACAGTAACAGTATTGTAGAAATTCATTTCACCGAAACAATAACGTGGCGCACAGTGTGACGCATGCACCAGTTATTGTATTTCCAGACTTGCTTTCGGCACAATTTACAGTGCACGCTACTCTGTTTTTTGTCAGACTTGAAATAGCCGAAATACCTTCACACTACGGAACTTCTATGGCTCTTCCGTTCGACAATCTCTCCGGCGTTGGAACCATCATCTGTTTTCTCTTCGGTCACGCTCGGTTGATTTTTCTAGTCGGCACACTCATTTCCTCCATTACGCGCTGGCTCCATTACCCGCTGGCTGCTTCCCAAACAAACACACGTGCGGCTTGGCATTTGTGCTGTACGTAACAAGTCACGCGACGTGACGCTGCGGCTGTGATTGGTTCGGCTCTGCGCTACTTAATTTGGACTGGCTGTTTTTTTTGTTTTTTTGTTTTTTTTTTAAGAGGACAAGAGCGGCGAGGTCTATCGCGATAGCTTAATTTCTCTATCGAGTAAAAGTTATATCGCGATACATATCGTTATCGTTCTATCGCCCAGCTCTAGGACAAGGTAAAAAAAACTTGGGCGTGTGGTTCGACATGGTGCTCTCCTTCGAGTCTCGTGTAAAAGAGATAACAAAGACCACCTTTTATCATTTGTGGAGCATAGCCAAAATCAATCACGCCCACCGTGTTAAAACACGGGGACTCAGGGGTTGGTGGGGGGTTGTGGTGTGAGGTGATGTAAATAAAATGGCTCAAAACACTGATCCCTGGACCCGCCGTGCCTCCCTTCCTGGGTTTCGGCACCACTGTAAACGACCACGGCAGACCCTGGTGCACGTTCATGCTTTGCAGCATACTTTATTAACACTTTCACGGTTGCTGTACATCCACAACCAGAGCTCAGCTCTCCCGCTGCCAGCTCAACATAACGACCACAACAACAACGCCAACCACAGGACCCAGTACAATATTTAATTCAGTGGGGCGTGATTGCGGATGCCGTGCAGGTGCGTCCGCCTCCTTTGCACGGCACCGCAGACCACGCCCCACCACACCCCTGTACTGAGATCTCTTCATTGGCTATCTTGTCAGGTTCCAGCAGATTTTAAGGTCCTGCTGCTCACCTATAAGGCTTTAAATGGATTGGCACCTTCATACCTCTCCGACCTTTTACACCTTTATGTTTCATCCCGTGCTCTATGATCTCAGGACTCTGGCCTTCTAAAGGTTCCTAGAGCCAGAAAAAAAAAAACTGGAGAGCGTGCTTTTTCTTTTCGTGCCCCGTTTCTGTGGAACACCCTCCCTCAAGATATTAGGCAGAAATGCTCTGTGGAGGTTTTTAAAACTAAGTTGAAGACACATTTGTTCACCCTATCTTACATGTCTTAATTCTATGACTTGTTTTTAACTTGTATTGTGTTTTTTATTTGTATTGCTATGTATCGCTTTTATTTATGTTTTTAGTTTTAGATAGCTGTACAGCACTTTGTTTGAAAGCGCTTTATAAATAAAGTTATTATTATTATTATTATTATTATTATAATTATTATTATTTTTATTATTATTATTATTATTGTTATTATTATGGGGGCCCTTCTGTGAACTCTGAGCTTTAGTTATTTCCATAGATTTTCAGTCGGATTCAGGTCTGGTGATTGGCAGGGCCATTCTAGCAGCTTTTTCTTTCTTTGAAACCAACTGAGAGTTTCCTGGAATGTGTGTTTGGGATCAGTGTCTAGCTGAAAAGTCCACCCGTCTTTATCATCCTGGTAGATGGCAGCAATTTCTTTTTTCTTTTTTTTATCAAGAATGTCTCTGTTCACTTTTCCAATTATTCTTTCCTCAATTAAATGAAGCTTGCCAGTGCCGTATGCTGAAAAAGAGCCCCTCACCATTATGTTCCCACCTCCAACTAACATGGTGTGTATTACAGCATCCAAAGAGCATCCAATTTTGGTCTCATCTGACCAGACTATAGTCTCCCAGTATTTCACAGGTTTGTCTAAATGTTCTTCAGTAAACTTTAAATGTGCTTTAACGTGTTTTTTCTTTAGCAATCCAGTCTTCAGTCTTGTTTCTGTAGCTCTCCACAAGTGATCCTTGGCTCTTGGACAACTGTTCTGATTGTTATTTCTACTCCTCTGTCTAAAATCTTGCGGGAGCACCTGGTCGTGGACGGTTCATGGTGAAATTATGTTCTTTCCACTTCCGGATGATAGTGCCAAAAGTGCTCACTGGAACCTTCAATAGTTTTGAAATTCTTCTGTAACCAGTGCCATTAGTATGTTTTGCAACAATAAGGTTGTAAAGGTCATGAGAGACCTCGTGAGGTGTTTCTTATGTGACATCTTGGTAATGAGACACCTTTTTATAGGCCATCAGATGGGACTGAAACAGCTGATATTAATTTGCACTAAGTGGCAGGATTGCTTTCTAATTACTGATAGATTTATGCTGGTGTTATGACTTTCCATGTCTTTTTGCACACCCTTTCT